AGGAGTCTCAGCAAAGGCTTGTCTGGATCGGTTGGCCTGTGGGCACCCCAATGAGGGATTGTCTGGATTGCTTTAACTGACACCAGAAGACCCAGGCTGAGATTGGGAGGCACAGTTCCCTGGTTGGGGATCTGGATAGTGTAAGAGAAGGAAAGCTAGCTGAACACTAGCACGTATGCACTCATTTCTCTCTGCTCTTGCCTATGGCTCTGGCGGGACCAGTATCTTAAGGACCTGCTGTCTTGACTTCCCTGCTGTGATAGATTATAACCCAGAACCATAAGTTTAAATAAACCTCTTCTCCCTAAATTGCCTTTTTGTCAGGGTATCTTACTGCGGCAACAGAAAGGAAACTGGGATGCTGGGGCCCTTCCTCCACTGCATCATTACGTGCACCTGAGTTAATACACGGAGGTCTTGAACACCATGTGGTGTCCGTGGAAGTTGCTGCTACCCAGTGATCCCTCAGTCTTCACAACAACCCCTTGAGACAGGTTGTCCTGCCTGCTAAGATGGCTCAGTGGGTAAAGGGGCTTGTGGTCAAGCCTGCTGAATCGGATTCAACTGGAAGGGACCCATGGGAAGGAAAGAACCAGCTCCCATGGGTTGTCCTCTGACATCCATGTCCACGCTGCGGCACTCAGGTACCTTTTTAAAAAGAAACAAAGGCCTAGCACTTGAGAGGCAGAGGCAGGCAGGGCCAGCCTGGTCTACACAGTGAGTCCCAGGGCAGCCAGGGATATGTAGAGAGAGCCTGTCTAAAAAAAAAAAAAAGAAAAGAAAAAGAAAGAAAGAAAGAAAGTTACCCTTCCTATTACTTATTACTTTAATGGTTGGCAGTGTTCTCTTGGGAGAAAAGGACTGAATATTCAAAAGAAATGAAATAATTGCCGGGCGGTGGTAGCACATGCCTTTAATCCCAGCACTCGGGAGGCAGAGGCAGGCGGATCTTTGTGAGTTCGAGGCCAGCCTGGTCTACAAGAGCTAGTTCCAGGACAGGCTCCAAAGCCACAGAGAAACCCTGTCTCAAAAAACCAAAAAAAAAAAACCAAAAAAAAAAACAAAAAAAAAAAGAAAATAAAAGAAAAGAAATGAAATAATAGCTGGGTGGTGGTGGTGCACACTTTAACCCCAGCCTTCTAGAAGCAGAGGCAGGCAGATCTGTGGTCAAAGCCAACCTGGTCTACAGAGTGAGTTCTAGGACAGCTACAGCTGCACTGAGAAACCCTGTCTTTAAAAAAAAACAACAACAAAAGCAAACAAACAAACAAACAAGACAGCTCCTCTCCATCTTGGTGCTGTGGCTCGTTCTTCCTGCCATGTCACATACACAAGCCTATCCCCTAAAGTGCAAGGGATTTGTGACCCAATTATTGGCAAAACTCAGGAGCAACCCAGATCCCTGAGGCCCAGTGGCCCCTACCTTCCTCCTGATGATGAGACACCAAGACCAGGAGAGGTCAAGTGGCCCAAGGGGCTCATTGCTTTGAGCTGCTCCAAAGGAAGGCCAGTAGGGCAGCCGAGACCTTGCCGAACAAAGGGAATCTTGTAGAAGTCACGTAAGGATAGTCAGGGTGCTAGGCAGGGCTAGAAAAGAAAACCTGGTGCCCAGACAAAGCAGGAGCTAGTCTTTTGGTCCACGTATCCCCTTGCGTGGGCCTATCTTCAGCTCCCACTGCAGGGCTTTTAACCCCAGTCAGCTATAAAGTCACATTTCCTGGATGTCCTGGTAGCCTAGTGCTTAGGGCCACTGCCAAGGCCCTTCCTACTATGCTCGGAAAATGGGGCTGAAGCTCTTGCTTCCTTTCCTAAATAGTTTCAGGCTCTACCAGTTCAGTTCTGATTGTTCAGATAGTAGGAAATGAGGCTAGTGGCCTGGGCACACTAAAGCCCTGAGTTCCTCAGGGAGACATTAGGTGGGATATGGGGTTAGGGTCTACAGCCAATTATTCTAGGTGACATGGAGCCTCCCTTTGCCTTTCTACCCTTCCAGGACCTCCTGGAGTCAATGCTTTTGTTATCTAACTCCAGAGGCTACCTCAAAGAAGGACATTCCGGGTGGTTGTGAGACCCCCTCGAAGCCAACTTGTGGCATCCTGAAAGGAAGAATTAGATAGTCACCATAGGTTCTCTGTGTCTACAGAGAAATAGCTCAAAGTGAATGACTGAATGTCTTTACTTTCAGTCAAAATGGAAGATCACTACCCACCCAAAAGCATGCTTACAAACACACACACACACACACACACACACACACACACACACACACACACAACCTCAATGCCTCTCTTAAGAACTAAGAGGCCTGGTTTCACTCAGATGCCAGGCTCAAGGCCTTTGTCCTTGTACCATCAGCCACTGTCCTGGGAAAGGAAACAGGCCTGGTATTTCTACTGCACAACCCTAACATTGAGTAACACCTTCTGGGAAGGGGAAATGTCCAGTTACTGGTAGTTCATTCAGTACTGGACAGTGTCTACGGCAGATCTACGTATGGAGGCCAGTGGAGTGAAGGTGGAGACCATTCAACCCTCAAAACTTACTAACTGCGAGGAGCCAGTGACTGAAATGTCATCTCTGCCCACCCAAGACTCAGTTCTCCCAGGTCTGATCTTTACAAAAGCCCAACTCCTTTCTCACAAGTTAAGCATCTCTTTCCAGGAGCTACCTGATCCCGGCTGGATCTCACGATCCTCCTGCTCTATCTTATTCGGCAAATCCCGTGTGCACCCCTACAACAGGCCTGGATGGACTTCTAACCAAGGAGACCCTACCACCTATTTTCCACGACACCCGAGGTACAGCTACTACAGTGGTGAGAACCCCATCTTCCCTTTACCGCCGTCTAGTCGAGTCCAGGTGCAGACTGCCCTTTCCCACACCCCTTCAGGGAGGTACCGAGAAGTTAGGACCTTGGTTAATGCCTACAAGAGCACCCAATTCAGGCCTGCCAGTGTGGCATGGGTTACACCCCCTTCACCAGTAGCTCCCTGACCACCCTCCCCCAAAGACCACGTGAGGAAACTGGATGTACCTGGATTACAGCTCCCAAAGTAGCCAAGGCCACCCAGGTGAGCAAGGTTACCCTGGACTCGCTCACCACAGGCTTCTTTGTAAAAAGAAAAAAACAAAAAAATACAAAACAAAAATCTCCACCCCACCCAGGTTGAGTGAACTTCCAGCATCCACACCCAGAGCTCTGGGCGGTAGCTTTTAAGGATGAAAGACCAACCACTGTGCTGCTCTCCAGTGAGGGTCAGACACACACACACACACACACACACACACACACACACACACACAC